TTAGCCTTAGATGAAAAGAATAAGTATCCATTGGCTTCTAAAACGACACTCAACAATTTTTATGTTGATGACATTTTGTCTGGCGCAGAAGATGTCACCACTGCTGTAGAATTGCAGTGGCAGTTAATAGACATGCTACAATCTGCGAAAATGGAATTGCACAAGTGGTGCTCAAACGAAAAAATTCTTTTAGAACAAGTTCCATTCGAAAAACAAGAGTATCGTTTTGGAGAATCTTCACAAAGCACCGTAAAGACTCTGGGTTTAAGATGGAATCCAGAAGAAGACTCTTTTAGTTTTACTGTGTTTAGTTCGTCAAAAATCTGTACAAAACGCACGGTTTTGGCTGATATTGCTAAACTGTTTGTTCCTTTAGGTTTCCTAGGGCCTGTAATCATGCGTGCTAAGATATTCCTGCAAAGGCTGTGGCTTTTACATCTAGAGTGGGATGATCCACTTCCTTTCAAAGAGCGACAAGAATGGGAGACATTTCAAAAGGCCCTACCAGAGTTGAAACAAACGTCCCTCATCACTTGAATCACTCTACTGTTTTGCTCTCTTGCAAAACTGGCGAAGTTAAAGTGGCTTTACTTTGCCGCAAATCTCGAGTATCGCCTATCGAATAGGGGAGTTTAAGTAATAACCATTCCTCGTCTGGAGTTGTGTGCAGCAGAGCTCCTTTCCAAACTTGTGTGTAAGGCAATAACATCTTTTGTTTTATCTTTTATTTGTTTGTTTATCTTTTGACAAAGTTATTCTGTACACAGATTCAACAATTGTGTTAGCCTGGATTGCTACATCTCCTCATCTTCAAAAGTGTTTGTGTCAAATAGAGTAGCTCGTATCCAAGAGCTAACTAAGGATTTCTGCTGGCAACATGTCAGAACAGCAGACAATCCCGGTGACCTAATTTCTCGCGGTCTGAGACCGGAAATTATTGCTGACAACTCTTTGTGGTTTCAAGGACCAAATTTTCTGCATCAACAGGTCATCAATTATAGTGTTAATAATAACTTTGAAAATTCAAATGAGAACTATGTGCGCGAACTGAAACTTATTTCTAATGTAAATTTGACCGTAACTGTTAAAAATTCTCTTTTGGATTATGTTTTTAGTATTACTAATTGTTATGCTAAATTAATTAATGTTTTTGCTTATGTTTTAAGATTTATAAGAAATTGTAGATCCAAGGAAAAACAAGTAGGTCAATCTGACAGTAGATGAGGTTTCGTTAAGCGAAAATAAATTACTTTCCTTAGTCCAATGTCAAAACTTTCCTGAAGAATTCAAGAACTTAAGTAAGAGAAGGGAAGTATGTAAAAATAGTCAGTTAAAATTTTTATGTCCCTTTTTAGATGAATCTCAAGTTATTAGAGTAGGTGGTAGACTGCAGGAAGCTAACTTACCCTTTAACACAAAGCACCCTGCTGTCCTGCCAAAAAATCATAAACTGACTCATTTAATTATGTTACACTACCATATTCGAAACTTTCATACTGGAGCACAAGCGCTCTTGCATAGTGTGAGACAAAAATTTTGGCCGATAAGTGGGCGTAATCTTGCTAGAAAGATAGTAAGAGAATGTGTTACGTGTGCCAAAGTAAAACCAGTATTGCTGGATCAAAAGATGGGAAATTTACCATTAGAGAGACTGAATCCATCCTTTCCCTTTAACCATACTGGTGTTGACTTTTGTGGCCCTTTTGGTATAAAGTATACAACTCAAAAGAAGAGCGTAGTGCACAAGATTTATGTTGCAATTTTTGTTTGCCTCTTGACTCGTGCAGTCCACCTCGAGATCGTTTCAAATTTGTCTACAGAATCATTTATTGCTGCTTTGAAGCGATTTATTTCTAGAAGGGGTAAATGCGCAACCTTATTTAGCGATAACGCTCGAAATTTTGTTGGGGCTAGCAATGAATTGAAGCGACTCTACAATTTGTTGAAATACCCTGATGAATTCTTAACCAAAATCTCTGACATCTGAAAGAATTCATTGGAAGTTTATCCCTCCCAGGGCTCCTCACTTTGGAGGTATCTGGGAGGCAGGTGTTAAGTCGTTTAAGTTTTATCTTAAGCAAGCAGTTGGGAAATTGATTTTTACATTTGAGGAGTTTCTTACAATTTTGAACCAGATTGAAGGAATTTTAAATTCACGTCCAATATCCCCTTTGTCAAATGACACCAATGATTTAGAAGCTCTTACGCCCGCACACTTTCTAGTCGGGATACCTTTAACATCAATAACAGAGCCTGATTTAACTGATTTTTCTGATAGTTCTTTAAAGCGCTGGCAGCGCACTACTAAAGTAACGCAATATTTGTGGAAAAGATGGCAAAATGATTACATCAGTCATTTACAGCAACGATTTAAGTGGTATTTCTCTAAGGATAACGTTAAAAAGGGCACTATAGTTTTAGTAAAGGAAGACAACATGCCCACTTCGACTTGGTTACTGGGTAAAATAGAAGAGGTAATTTATGGTAAGGATAAAAAGGTTAGAGTTTGTATTGTAAGAACCAAGTCAGGTTTTTTAAAAAGACCAATAACTAAATTAGCTGTACTACCAGTAGATGTTACATAATTTCATGTATATTTCCTGAGTTCAAAAAATTGTTATATATATGCATTGTATTTTAATTTAGATGTTGTGCATTTCATGTTCTGTGGTTAATTATGTTTATTGCTTTTGTTCATGTGTATCAATTTAAATTTTCTGATATATGATTTGGACTATATGGTGATTTAAAACTGTTTAATTTTGGTCATTGTTAACTATGTAACAAATGCCCAACCTCGGCGGTATGTTAAGGCAGAAGTGATCTGGCAACCACGATGGGAGAAAACGACAACGTGGTTAGCTAGCAGCCATTATTTATTGTGTTTGATTGCGTGCTGAGAGGTGCACCTATGCGATGGCAAGAGTGTCCATCCAAACAGAAGTTAAAAGAAATAAAGCTACAGTCCATTAAAGCTTAGTGTTTGTGTTTCACGAGTACTTATATGCTCGAACATGCTGAAACGTATTTCTTAATCCTTTGACTATTAACAGGACATACATGTTCCACTAAATTTTTAAAATTTACTGCTGGATTAAAAAGTACTTAAAATCTTCTTAATGTTGGGGATCATCTTCCAATAGTTGAAAAATCAAGACGCCGCTGTTCTTATTGTACACAAATGAACATAGAGAAAAGAACAAGTATGAGTTGCCCAGTGTGTAATGTTGGATTATGCAAAGAAATGTTTTACCCTGTACCATACAATGTAAATCTATTTCATATAATAATGTTTTCCAGAATAATAAGTGTGCTTATAGTAAGTTGATTGCTACATGTGGGACATATGTATATCACCATTAACTATGGCTGGGAGATATGTGTCTCAGCCTTTGGTTTGAAAACCATTTGTCTAAAAAAATCCAAAATGTTAAATTTACCTCATTTATGACATATTTTGTTCACTTGGATAGAAAACGAGGTTAATTTTTTAAAAAAAAATTTGTAGTCAAAGGGTTGAGTCACACATACTATTGGTTACTAAGTAATATTTTCGAGGAAGACAGAAGTTTTAAACTTTATACTATAGTGTTTCTTTGTAGAGTCCAAGTGGGTGAACTTCTATCTGAAATTGGAGTAGCAGGAAACTACATAAGAGAAGGGTTAAAATACCCTTTATTAAATCTTTTGAAAATATACAATGCGTCAACTCGATGCTAACGAACATCACCTCTGCTTGGGTGGTAACTGAAAATCAGGTAATTAAACTAAAATTGGAAGATATTAACAAACGATAGACCTATATTACAGGGCTCAGCTAGGTCCCATAACTTCAACCCCTTCGAAGCTAGTGGCAGCAAATAAATGCAATTAAGCCACTTGTACCAGCAATAAGCAAATGTACTTGCGGCACAGATGGCGGGCTAGAGCCTAACTCTCTCTTTCTCCTACCAAAACTCGGCTTTTAACTACTTCCTTCCAAGTAGAAAATTTGCATTTGTTCATGCACGCTACAACATATACCTATTCTGGCACTGACAATTAGGGGAATGAAGGCTTGTAGGAAAGTTTAAAATAAAACTTTAAATTATTAGTTAAAATAAATATAAATCTCTACATCTTAATTCATTCATTAATCTCCAGTGTGCCAGATTGTTACCATGTAGCAAAATATAAGATATGTAAACTTCAGTTTTAATCAACAAACTCGGCTATTTAAATACAATATGTTGCCATTGCCTCAAATAAAATACTCATATCTTCCATGTAGCAGGGTGTTGTCAGTCAATAAATTGTAAGATACTTAACTTTCAAATTTATTCTGTCTGTTAATGAGTAACAAACCAAGCTATTTAAAAGTTATGAACTCCCTTCTTATAAATATTTTTTCTACTTTTTAATATAATTGATTTAAATAAAAGTGTATTTAAATCATGAGATGTCTTATTAGAAGTATTAAATAATTTTTTTGCAATTACACAAGCCATGCTCATTAAAATCATTACATATTTCTTTTTTCGCACTAAATGTTTTAGGTGGGCAGCCATGCAGAAGTGGCTAGTCAGAAAATTTACTATTAAATTTGAAATTGGAAATTCACAGGTACTGAGATGCATGTCTACTGTGCAGACATGCGATACCTGGATTGCTCCATAAATACATTTTGGCAGTGTTGTGCACTGCTGCATGTTTGTTTTACTGAGATAATGTGTTGCCTCATGGGGGATACACTTAATCAGAAGGAACCAAAAAATTTTTAGGCTGTGAAAGTTATATTGACAGAGCCTGTGCAATTAAGTTTTGGGGGGGGGGAATCTGTTAAAATTGCTAATTTTTTTACACGGTAAATGATACTACACATGTAATGTTTTCGAAAAGAGAAATAAAAATATGGACTTTCTTTTGATATAGATTTAAATTTAACAGTGTTCTTAACAACTTTCAGCTTTAATAGCATTGATTTTATTTTAATTTAGTTCACGTACTTTTGTTTTATATAGAATGGAGGTTTCTATAGTGCAGAAGATGCAGATTCATTGCCATCAAAGTCTGACACTAGGAAAAAAGAAGGAGCTTTTTGTGTTTGGACAGAAGAAGAGATTCGAACACACCTAAATGAAGAAGTTCCTGGTACCAACTTAACACTCGCAGATGTATTTTGCCAATATTTTAATGTACAAGCTGATGGAAATGTGGATCCTTATCAAGTATAAAACTTTTTTATTCCATTATTGTTTAGTTATTCTAGAAATTGATTGTTTTCAAGGTTGAAAATTGTATTTTGTATGTTTGTTATAGGATCCACATCATGAATTAAAGGAGAAAAATGTTTTAATAGCAAAAACTACCGATATTGATTGTTCAAATAAGTTAGGTATTGATATCAATGTTCTAAGGAGGGCTCTACAGAAAGGCAAACAGATCCTTTATGATGTTAGGCAACAACGTCCCAAGCCTCACATGGATGATAAATTTGTAACTTCTTGGAATGGTACAAAGTTTTGTGCCTAGATGTTTTATTCAGTAATTTTTCTAATTTACATAATATGTATATTTTAAACTTCAGAATCAGCATATGTATTTTCTTGCATTCTCTTCTTGTCTAAATATACTTTCATCTGATAAAATAATGAAAGATTCTTTCAGGTCTTATGATCAGTGGTTTTTCTAGAGCAGCTCAAGTTCTACAAGATTCAAAATATTCGCAGTATGCTATGGATGCTGCTCAGTTTCTGTACAAACATTTGTATAACAGTGAAACTGATTGCCTTCTAAGAAGTGCGTATAAAGGAGACCATGGCAGTGTAGCTCAAATGTAAATTTCTAGATTTAATATTCTTTTTTTAGAATATTTATAATGAAAAATAATATAATGCAAAGCAAAAACTACGTTTTTATGATTTTCTTTTATTTATTGTTACTTATGAAAAGAGTCTTGACTAGTTATGTAAGTGAGAATATATCTATATAAAATTGCAGTCATAATTTTAACTTCCCATTTATAATTATAAATAAGGTAGCGTGAAATTGCATAAATTTTTTATTAATTCAATGAAAATAACTACTTTATATCTTTTATTTTGCCTATCTACGTAACATTTTACTTTCTACCTAACTGCCTACTTACATACATATTTATTTTTATATATTTATTTTGACATCTTCCTAATTAAATTATATATTTTAATAATACTTACACAGTCCCTTAAATCTGCTGGAGAATTATTGATATCCTTTTCAGTATATGTATTAATTTAATAAGTCATTTTTCTTTCTTTACAAAACAAATATGGTCATTATCAGTAGTACATTCAACTTTTTATTTATTTTTTGTTTACTTAATTTATGTTCTTTAATATTTATTTAATTAGGATGCTAGGAGGAAATTACCCCTCTAAGTGTTATGGACATAAACTTCCATATAGAACGGTGGCTTTCCTATTCATTACACATGAAAATTTCTGCCAGCTTCTAATGTATCCAATTTTGGATTGGATGTATATTGGAAGAAAAAAATTCAAGGTACAAAGTGAGCGAGTTGTTTTGGAATAATAGTCAACAAAATGCCATTCATTCATGACATTTTGTGGAACTCTAAAATTTTAGGGCAAAATCCATAACACTCAGAAGGTTAAGAAGCTAAACAAATTAATGAATAATAACTGGATTTTATGGAATTATTGCAGCAAGCTCAAATTTTAAAAATCATAACATTTAATGCTGCATAATTTAGTACTATAGCAATAAATAAAATTTCAATTTTTTAAATCTTTTTTTAATCAGTTATGTTAATAAGTAGTTTTCTCATCTTATTCTCATAATGTGCTTCAGAAATAACAGTTCTTTATTCTCTTCTGTGGTATGTAAATTAGCAATTATTATACAGAAGATTATGTGTGTAATGAAATAAAGAAATATATTATTTTGAATTTAATGTAAAGGAATTTTCAAATGTACACATGTATTTTAATTGAATTAATTGTACTTGCTGTTATCGACATATGTATTACATATGTCACCCAGTCATACTTGCAGTAATAACTTACAGTATTGATTTTTAGGCCACGTTTTCACTTGCACCATAACAGGAATGTATGTGTTCTAAATCATAATGCTACATTTTCTGTTACAGCAGTATCTGATGTAAAATTCTGAAAACAAGTTGTTAAAAAAATTCTTTAACTTGCATATAAAAGTAGAAACAATAAAGTTAGCAGAAAAGATTTAAACAGTGAAAAGATATATATATATATAAATTAATTTTCAGTTGAGTAGAAAAAATTGATAAAACTACATCCAATATGCACTAAAAGTAATATTTATGCTAGAAAATTGCAAAGTAGTCCAATGCAAAATGATCTAAAATAAAGTGAAAATATGTGTTACTGAGTATAACAGTAGCCAATTTCTCTGCTACTCTGTAGGTAGTGTTAGCTAACTTATGATATCTGGAAAAAAGTAAAAAGCTATCAGGGAAGAAAATTAGCTTTTCAATTTGATAAAAATTGTTTGATTGCAATTATCTTAAGAAATCATTGTTTTCTTCAAAATATTTTGTACCAACAAGACAGTTATGAAATCATGTGGAGAACAGCTATGCAGTACTAAAATTTACATGTTATTACTATTTATAAATTTTTATTAGAACCAACATTGAAATTTTAGAAACAGTATTATAAAAATATTTTCAAATTACTAGTCCCTTACTGTCTGTGAAGCAAAGTATTAAAATTATAACAGTATTTGTTTATTGTATCATTTAATTTAGCTTGTCATGTACGTGGATTTAATTAGCTTGTCATGTACTTGTCATGACAATGGGATATAAATTCAGAAATTGTTATTTTTATAGCCTGAATCCTATTCCTGGCGTTCTTGAAGATTACACATTCCTTATACGAGGTTTACTTGATTTATATGAAGCATCATATGATCCATGGTGCCTTGAGTGGGCATCAAAACTTCAAACTACTCAGGACTGTTTATTCTGGGATGCAGCAGATGGTGGTTATTATAACAGTGTGTCAACAGATTCATCGATTGTATTGCGTCTCAAAGAAGGTATTGTTTATGTTAAAAATGTTTTACTTATATTTTTTAATCGGCTTTTCATGGTACTCATGTAAAGTACACTGCTCAAAAAAAAAAAATGGGACAGTGCTATATCTCCCGTTCTACTGGGGCGATTCACGAAATTCAAATTGCGTTCTTCATGTCTCGAAAGCGCGACTTAGGATATACATTAGATTTATATATAGCACTATTCTAACATAGGTATTTCGACACAAAATCGGACTTTTTCTGAAATAACATACCAATTTTTTTACATATTTCGATTCTACGACTCAAATTATGCCAGAATACCAAGTTTTGTTAAAATCGTACGAGTAGTTTTTTAAATATTAGCTCTCAAAATTTTAGCTCCTCAATGTTAATTGAATTTGGCATATATATTTATTTAATATCTCTTTTTTTTTATTAAAGTTTTTTGATTTTTTCCTCTTCACATTTCGAAATTTAGGTTCATTCCCAAATAAAATTCACCCATTTTTTTTGTTTTCATTTTTTAAATTTGTATTTTTAAATAATTTTTTATAAATTTTTCGAAAAAAAATTTTGTAATTACAACCCATAAAAAGTTTTTACCATCATTCATTAAAGTAGGTATATTTTTAAGCATACTCTGCAAAAAAGTAGGGTTTTTTTATTCAAAATTTTCCTAAGATATACACAAATTTACATATTTGGCGCGTTTTGAAATTTGGCATCTTTTTTTTATGAAGCGATAATAACGCCAAATGTGGGTCTATGGATTTTTGTTACACACTGTATTGCCACAGCTATTTTTTAACCTTAAATTTCAAGTAAAATTTTACGAAGAATTAATTATATGACATTTTTTCCCTCAATGATGTGTAATAAATATTTATTAATACTATATGAAAAGCTATTTTTTTAAATAAATTTTTTAATATTTTTTTAATTTGTCTCTATCTTTTTTTTTTTTTTTTTTTTTTAAATAAGAGTAAATTTTTGTAAGAGTAAATTTTTACCTTCGGCGTTTTATCGTCTGCTACTTTACTTCGTTTAAATCAAATTGTCTAAAACTGAGAATTTTCGTTTGATGTTTATTTAAATTTTATGACATTAACTGCACAATTTATTTCTAAACAAACTGATGCTTTTTAAGTGGCTGAAAGAGCGGCTGGTACTATCATCCATATTTTTAAAGCACAGTATATTTTTTATAGAGAACATAAGATTTAGAATAATCATTTTATATAAAGTCAAATTATTGATATAAATATACAACCCTCTAGAGAACTGAATTAATGGAAGTTCAATGGTTATGTAGAAATGATCTGCAAGCTACTTAATCGCTGGATAAGTCAGCAGATTCTGTGGACAAGTAAGAATAATTATATAAACGACACCCAACATTCTGGATTCAATTAACAACGAGGATACGATGTTTATTAAATGAATTCAAGAAGATTTTAAACATAAAAAATCAACTCAATTTTTTATCCAAAAATGTATTTTTGTGCGTAGCGTATTTTCATTATTCTAATTTAAAATTCTAATAATTCTTAAAATTCTAATTTAGAATGTAATTGTCAAGAACTGATTCCTAATCATCAGTAATATAATAAGTAATTATTACGGTTATTAATAAATCCTTCTTATAAAGTAATTGCAAATATTTCAAAAAACTTTCTGTCTGAATGCAAATATTTTTAATTTTATATTAATCAAGACTGCACACGATATTATTTATTTGCACTTCAATTCTTAACGTCAGTTCTAGAAGTTACAAATCAATTATATTTAATTAAGGATTGGATTGGATTATTTAATTATGGCAAAGTACATGAGGGCTATCTGCCTAAAGGGAGGGATGCCTTCTTGGAGGACCTTTCTAAGGGAAACTGGCTCGTATACACGTTACACATCGGGAAACTAATGCAACCAGCCCGTTCGCGGGATTCGAACCTCGGACCGAACTACCAGTGATCAGCGTCTTTATCGCTCGGCCGTTTGTGGGCCTTTATGAAATGGAAGGCGATAACTTTATTTAAAATGATTGTCAGAAATACCAAAATGTTTCAAAAAGTTGGATACTTTTTAATATACTTTCAGAATGCTTAAAGAAAAAGAGAAGAAAAATAAATTTTTTCGTAAAATTTAGTATTTGTATTTTTTTTAATTTAAAACTTTTCAATGTTATGATATTTGATTCTTGCAATTTCAAAAATAAAATATTTGACTAAAATATGAATAACATTTTAAGAAACCAAATGTAGGATAAAATTGTGTAAAGCAAACGGCACAATGATAAAACTGTTTAAAGCAGTGTATGCAAGTCATCCTAAGTTAAAATGTCGGTTATACATCTCTCTTATTTATATATATCTGTTCTGAACGGAACATTAAAAGGCGTGTAAAACTGCGCTTTACTGTATTTTCTCTTTTAATATAGTATGCAGTTTTCAAACTCATCGTAGTCTGAGTTACAAAGTATTCTTCCGAAAGAAACGCAGTTCAAATAAATAAAAATCAAATTCTGGAAAATTGATATTAATAAATATATTTAAAATGCTCAGTTCGAAGGAATAAATAGAAAATTTTAAAACAATTATCTGAAGAGACCATGCAACCACAAACAATTAAAATAAAAGTATAAAAATTTAAAAATTACCTAAAATAATAACTATGACGAAAAATATATATAAAGAAAACTATTTGAAAAAAAATTAACGCTGCTTTATTACGCTACGCAGTTCCAATAGGTAAATAGAAACTTTTAAAAACAGTTATTTGAAAAAAAAAAAAGAAAAAAAAAAAAGAAAAAGTGCAAAATGTTTTAAACAATTAAAATGAAATTCGAAAAAGAAAAAATTACTTAAAATAATAAGTTAATTAAAAATATAATATAAAGAATATTATTTGGAAAAAAGGAACGATGGTGACTTTTTTTCCTCTCACGGGAAAGGAAACTAGGTTGCCCATATATTAAGAAGTTCGCCAAGTGAAGTATTCTTGGCGCAAACTGACAAAAAAGTGCCAACATAAATTTGTGAATTTCTCCGTAAATTTCGCTCCAAATTTTACAAAATTTCATATTTAGGCGTAATTTGAGTCGTAGAATTGAAATATCTAAAAAAATTGGTATGTTATTTCAGAAAAAGTCTGATTTTGTGTCAAAATACCTATGTTAGAATAGTGCTATATATAAATCTAATATATATCCTAAGTCGCGCTTTCGAGACATGAAGAACGCAATTTGAATTTTGTCAATCGGCCCAGTAGATCGGGAGATATAGGACTAGACTGTCCCATTTTTTTTTTTTTTTTTGAGCAGTGTACCTTTCTAAATGATTTTTACAATTTTTTCTAGACTTAATGGATTCTGCAGAAAAAATTAGACTCAGTGTAAAAAATAGAAAATTAGCAATAACACTTACATATTAACTGATATAGAAAATTTAACATTAGAATGATTTTCGCTCTAGTAGAAATAGGTATATACCCAAGTAGCACAGCAACGTCGTAACGATGTTGCAAACTCATCACAGATGTCGTTGCAAAAACGTTGCAATATGTCATCTTTAAGATGTCCGTGAACATCCACTGTTTTTCAACCGTTGCAAAGATGTTTTTCTTACATCTTTGCAGATGAGGTTTTTGTCGCATACATGTCGTTATTGCGTCTTTTGTAGGTGATATTTTGGTTGTGAAAGTATCATATCACAGCATCTTAAAGATGCCTAAATGTTCGGAAAATTCCACCTTTTTGCAGCAGTTGTGAAAATGTCGTTATTATGTCCTTGTGTTGCATATTGATTTATGCAGAAAAATAAGCTTAATAATTAATATATTTTTTCTTCTTCTTTTAAATTTTGTATTTTCTGTGTTTATCTAAAGTGTAAATATTTTATCATTTCCTGAAAACCAGGAGATAATACAATTTTTTCTCTTTAGACTAAATATGCATAATTAATAATAGCCTTAATTATTTTCAGTACTTTAAACTATAGTTTTTTAAATTTCTGTTTAGACTAAATATGCATAATTAATAATAGCCTTAATTAATTTCAGTGCTTTATTTTTTAAATAACTTAAATAAGTTGATTACTTAAGATTTCATCATTTTTTCCCCTTAAGTGAGAGTAATTATGAAAGTGGCTATTATAAATATATAACATTAATAGTAGGTTTTAAGTAAATGAAACTCAATTAGACCTAGATAAAAGTAAAGATACATATGTGGGTAAAAAAAAAGAGTGTTTTTGATAACAGCATTATCACATTTATTTCTGTTAAATCTCAGAGACATTGAAAATTGCTCCTGTCATGATAAATTAGGTAGCGGTTCTTAAGGTAACATAATTGGTATTTTACCTGAACTCAAGTATAAATTTATTCGCGTTTCACGTTAAAAAATATAACCATTAACCCCTGAGCGATACTTTTTCAAGAAAACGCATAAAAAATAATCGTGTGTACTCATCTGGTCTGTCGCAAAAACGGCAAGTATTTTGACTCAAACTACTTCAAAAGTGGGCCCACCTTACCATGCAGATATAATTAAGCTAATTCTTCCCTCCGTTGAATTTAGCAAGTGAAATTAGTTTTTCTCCCTATGGTATCTTTGTCACAGGATTGGTTGCTAATATGTTATTTTATCTCCTAATTTGGCTACATTATAGTTTGCATAGTAATACATATGCTGCATATTAATCGTACCTTAATCAAGATATGTACTGAATATACGAGGGCCATCCAGGAAGTAGATTACGTTTCCGTCTGTGTCCGCTAGGGGCGGGGCTAGCGCGGCCATCTTGGGGTCAGAGCGTTGCGCAGCTCAGTCTGCATCTAGCCGTGCTAGTGAGAGGTTCGTGCTGTGCTCCGTTCAGATACTGTGACGGTTTGAAATGTCTGCGTTAATTGAAAATCCCGCGAGCTGCGAGGTGCGCTCAGTAATAAGGTTTCTGACTGCAAAAAACTGTAAACCAACCGATAGAAATCTATCGGCAGCTTCGTGAAGTGTATGGGGACAA